CCTCTCTGGATGTGCCGGGTGGTTCGTCGACGTCGCTGTTATCTGCTGATCAAAGAGGGTCGCTGCGGTTGTCTCCTACGCAATCGTCCTCTTTGCATTCAATAACGGGGTTGTCGTACAGGGCATCCCGTAGAATAGACAAAAAGCTCACTATTTCCATTCGTTCCTTCCTAGATGGTGCTCGCACTTTGTCACAATAATCAAATTCCTCCAACAAGTGCAATAACACAACACATTTAGCCGGTAATCTGTGGAAGAGGGTTTTGGTACAACAGACTATCTGGCAACTTCCTGTAAAAATCATCGCAGATCACCCAAAATTCCGCAAGTCCATTCTGAGCAAAGCTTTTGCAATTCCTTTCCTCTGGAATTGAAAAGCACCCATGTTCCACAGCCAATAAGGGGCAGAAGAAAATCTCTTGCTGCCTTCTGCTATTCCTCAAACGCTAGGGAAGCCTGTAGATGGGGTTTCCAAAGCGTAGAAGCATTTTGCGAGCGTTCAGAAGATGTTTTTTCGAAAAGCAAAACGAGCATGCGCATTAAGGATCCGAACCTCCATGACCACTCTGAGACTCCGTCGTCGTACCAACTGCTCCATCTGCTTTTGCTTTTGTTTTCGGTTAGCTTATATAGCCACCTCGGTGCGTTTAACACAGGGGAGAGAATGGTCTCATAATTCTATTCCCGGAATCGTTTGACAGATTTGGAGAGTGAATTTGAGATACCCTCTCGGAAACACATACGGCGGTATACATCTCATCTCAGATGGCCACTGCGACCTAGTATCCTCCCCTTTTCAGGCTCTATTCACCATGCCAATGGGGGGACACATTGTATCGTTATCAGGGTAAAGTTTATGGTGACTTGCATAACCAGCAATCAACCTGTTTGATCAATCGTACGATATCCTGCACGGCCTGCTCAACATGTAGCTCCTCCTGGAGGCGGGCTTCGGTAGCTGTCAATCGACTGTATTCAATTGAATGCCTCTGCAAGTAGCAGAACTTCAGGGCGAGATACTTAAAAAGCTCAAAAGAGTCAACTATTCAAGACACAACCAATCGTTTTTAACACTGCTTTACCGTACAGGTTTGTTATGATGAAACCGCTCTATTAGGCCGACGTTTCAACCAACTCATCGTCTTCAAAGACCTGAAAGAATTTCGGAGCTCCTGACCTGTAACTCCCGACCAGACGCCCAAACACGATAGGCCAGTTGCAACAACTCCCAGAAACTTAAACACCAAAAGATTCCAGCGGAGAATCAACCTCCTGCAATTTTGCCAGCGTTGCCGTCCCACTCGATTCCGTGAACAATAAGGGACTAATGAGACACCATTCATTCCTTTTTGTGGGCTTTGAGATCACCGCGTAACTCTTATCTCACGGTCGTCGACGGTGTCTCACTAGTCCCATATTGTTCACGGATCGAGTGGGACGGCAACGCTGGTGAAATCGCAAAAGGTTGGTTTCTTCGCTGGAATCTTTTAGCGTTCAAGTTCCTGGGAGTTGTTGCAACTAGCCTAGCGTGTTTGGGCGCTTCGTCGGGAGTCACAGGTCAGGAGCTTCAAACTTCTTTTAGGTCTTTGAAGACGACGAGCTGTTCGAAACGTCGACCTAATGAAACGGTTTCATCAAAATAAACCTGTACGGTAAAACAGTGTAAAAAACATTATGTGGCATGCCCAGGTTTCAAAAAGACCGAACATGAAAACTACTACACAACCAGATATTTATTCTGGAACTAACCAACTACATATGTACTTGGCTAGCACTCGTCACAAAATCTCAGATGAAATAAAAATTTGCGTCTCTCAAAACAGAATAAAAATCAGAGCAGAATTTTTGTCAAGAATTAGCAGTACTCAGAAATTTTATTGAGGTCATAAACCATGCACTTCCCTCACCTGGAGAGTTGTTTGTTGTTTTTTGTGCTGCAGAAAATATTGAATATGTTGTTTGTTGATATGACCAACGTCCAGTTCTCTTAGCCATTGTCCCCGTTCCCGATTCGCGGCGAGTTCTCGCTGGTGCTCACGAATACGTTGCTGAAGCTGATCATTTCACAACGCTGTCTTTGAGTTACTTGAATAGGGATTTGTTTACCCTGGATTGTTTCTCGTAGCTACAAGGAATTTGGGAAACCACGAAGGAAGATTGAACCGTCAAGAAGGCGAGGAGAAGAGGGGTTCCTGTCCGCGGCAAAAGTTTTGCCTTTACTAATCACTCCTGTGGGGTTCTCTGGTAGCGTACTGTGGCGGAAAATTAGCTGTTGACAAAAGTCCAGTCGAAACAACTTAGCGTGGAAGAGCTACTAGCTTCACTCCAACGCCTACATTTGCTGGTCGATTCAACACATTTTTTGAGTGGTGACAAATTATGGTTTGAAGTCATCAAGAAGGTAAGAGCAAGCGTTCCTTCAACGGGCCGAAGTTTTGCCCATAATTAATGCAAAGAAATAGAAACATCCAGTAAAAGAATGTTAAGAAAAAAAGTTTGAACAGTCAAAATTAGGACTTAGAGTTTGGGAGGCAACCTCATCCAAGGATAAGACCAGACCAGGTCATCAGAGAATATACATCACAAACTTCGCTATAGCCAGTTCTCTTCTAGAAAGTTTTGGAATTCCCTCTAGAGGTGCTATATAAGGACACTACCCACATACGCACATAACATACCTGACCCCTCTTGACAGTTTATTTCACTTAGCTAATCAACGGGACTGGCTAATTTTTTTGTACTCACTTTCACTGAGATCAAAAAGTTTTATGAAAATGTCATAAAAGTGAGAAGTTGTACACAACACTTCGAGCTACGTTATGTCATGTAGTGTTGTTTCCTAGTGTTCTAGGAGTAGCAAGAGATTCCTACCAAATCATCTCTGAAGGTGCCTAATGTGCGATTCATCTAGAAAGGAGGAAACAGACAAGATGAGAATGGCACGTTCAAAATAAGCAGCTAACTCAGCAGAATTACTTTACAGACTTACTTTTTTCTTTCTACATTTCAATGAACCAAGAGGAAGTGCTTTCATCAACGAACTCAGGATAGAGCTTGTAGAATCTCTACTTCAAAATATCCTCAGTGAAAATCCCTCACAAAGAGCGACCAACAAATTGCAAAGATCCGAGAGCGGTTTATGGGAAAGCGGAAAAAATGTATGCCATGAGTCCTGCAAAAAAAGTCTCGTAAGCAGCAAATGTCACGAATAACTTCGCAGCAAATGTCACGAATAACTTCGTTTGGAGTGTTTCTCTAATTATCACAGGAAGCGTATCCAATTTTCGATTGACAACATTCGATTTCGCTCCTTAACACTGACCTAACACCTTTCCTTTTTCTCATCACCCCAGTTGGGAGTGAACGATTTCCGGACAACTGCTTGTCAAAATTATCCAGAAGGTCGTAAGCCTGTTCGAGTCTTGAAAACATCACAAAAATAAAAATGAACATTATACCTATAACTACCAGTACTGCTGTGGCATGTCAGCAGGCCACGTACGATAAGGCGTGGCTCACCGGTGGGCCACGCGGTCGTCAGTGGCTCAACTATATAAAAGCTGAAGTGTCTCTCCGTATCAAGCACGTACTCTATGTGGCTTCGAATCCGACCATTCCGGCGCTTAAGCCCATTCAAATGCGTTGAAGTATCTGACATCGGAGCTTCTAATAGGCGGTTCGTGCACGCCTCGTTTCAACGCTTCGAAAGCGAAAACGAGTGGGTTGCTGTCGAACCCCGATTTGGTCAACCAAGTGTGATGTCATGAAATCTTTGTATGTGTTGTGATGTCATGAGTGTGATGTCATGAGTGCTATTCTCGAGAATATCGTCGTGCGTCATTTGGAATGGGAAGACTTGGGAGTGAAGGTCGACGGCCTCTAACTACATCACCTTCGCTTTGCAGACGACATCGTGCTCATGATCCCGAGCATCGAGCAGGCGGAACGAATGCTGGCCGAGTTTGATAGTGCTTGTGGAAAGATCGGCTTGAGACTGAACCTAACGAAGACGATGTTCATGAGAAACGGATTGGTACCTGATGCTGCTAAACGTAAGAAATATTTCCGAATGCTTCATATTTCTGAATTCCGAATTTATTTCCGAATGTCGGGTACCTAGGTCGGGGAGTCAACATGATGAACGACCTAGCTCGGAGCTGTGCAGAAGGCAACGCGCCGCGTGGGGAGCATTTAAGAATATCGAGGGAGTAGTGAAGAAGACAAAGATCATCCAGCTCCGCGCTCACCTTTTCGACACTACTGCCCTTCTTGCTTTGACGTACGCCTCGGAGACTTGGACTCTACAAAAGCAGGATGAGCATGCTGTTAGCGTTACTGAACGCGCTTTGGAAGGACAGTGCTCGGACTTCCCCCTATACACGCAAGTGCAGAAGGGAATCCGGAGTTCCGAGCTCCGTCGACGAACGAAGATCAGGGATGCCGTTGATTACGCCAAGAGATCGAAGATCAGGTGGGCCGGACACGTTATGCGATTTAATGATGACCGTTGGA